CCAAGCAGTTACATTAGTGACACAATAATAGAAATCTCAGCTGGAATAATTCCCTCTCTAGTGAGAGATTTTTTGTTTGTTTTTATCTAGTAAGAGTGGCTAACATTTATTGATGCTTTACTCCAAGCCAATCCTTTAGGCATGTACCTTTATCATTTGGTCTTGTGACCCAAGAGTGATACTATTTTTGCCTTCCATTTTATGTCTGAGCACAGTAACCACGGACACTGGGTGCTCAGGATACCTTCATAGCCATTCACACTAGTCCTGAAATTGTGGATCCCAGAAATTCCACAACTTTCTCAGGATCCCATAACACTGAAACTCTGAAACCTCATACATAGAAAATGGAAGAAATTGTAAGAAGGAATCTCTGTGCCCCTGCTGGAAAGGGAACTGAGCCAATTTGGAAATCAGTGTTAGGAGTCACATAAAGATAAACAAGGGTGAAAGGTCAAGAAGTAGCACATTCTGTGACAAATTGTGCCAAATGAGATTCTCCAAGTCTTCTTTGATAAGAAAGGCTCAGTATGTCCTCCTCATGCCAAGTTAATGGCAATAGAGAATAAAGCCCTAAGCTGCCATTCCTGACTTCATTTTCCTGCAATGAAAACAATGCTAAGGCCAAGATTCTTGCCTTTGTTGACCTCAGACAGAATTTATGGTACTCTGATACAGTTCTAACTGCTTGCACCTCACAATTGGCCCTTATATTAGAGTGACTTTCTATGAGTTAGTTTCTCTGTGAGGTTTATAAGTGAATTGAGGGCAGGGAGCACGTTTTACCCTATTTTTTCTTCCAGTGCTTAGGAAAAGGCATGTCATGTGTATGAAGCGAGGTTGCCTGTTTTCTTCTGTTTCATAAGTGTAGTATTAAAGCTCCCTGCCTTCAAAGGTAGGTGGGAAAGACCTACAAATAGTGATAATATAGTGCTTTGAAGAAAGAATTATAGTGGATAGAACAGGCTTTCTAAGAAGCCAGATAGACTTGACATAGCCAGTGAGGACCAGTAAAAATGAGTAAACAAGCCATGTTCAGAAGAGGGAAGGGGACATTCTAGGCAGAGTAACACATGGGGGAGAAACCAAAATGGGGGAGAGAGAAAAGGTAGAAGAGCAGAAAAAGGAAGGATTTGTGGTGCTGGAATCTTAGTGTGGCTAAAGAAAATTTCACTTTGTGGCATCAAAAAAGGAATTATGAGGCAAGTGTGGGCGACAGGTATGAACTCTAGAGCCAGGCTGCCTGGATTGTTCAAATCCCAGCTCTGCCACTTGCCATCTATGTAACAGAGCAAATTACTTAACCTCTGAAGCTGTAGATACTAATTTGTTAATTGGCTAACAACAAAACCTACCATTGGGAACTCATAATAATTAAATGGCTTAATACTAATAAAATAGAACAGAGCCTGTCAGGTAGCATGTACTTAATAAGGAGCACTTAATGTAATCCCATTGTTTCCTCTAGTAGCCCACTCCGCCCCCCGCACCCCCCAGTCATGGGGTTTGAACTCTGGGCCTGGGCGCTGTCCCTCAGCTCTTCAGCTCAAGGTTAGTGCTCTACCACTTGAGCCACAGTGCCACTTCTGGTTTTCTGGTGGTTTATTGAAGAGTTTCATGGCCTTTCCTACTTGGGCTGGCTTCAAACCATGGTCCTCAGATCTCAGACTCCTGAGTTGCTAGGATTACAGGCATGAGCCACTGGCACCTGGCTAGTGTCCCACTTTTACTCCATTTGTTCACCTATTTCTTCCTATTTCCTCCAGTGCCCTGGATTGAATGCAGGACCTTGTTTATATGGAGCAAGTGGTCTATCATTGAGCCCCAAGCCATGACTCCTTTATGGGATTCCTTCAATAGCCTAATTGGTCTTTCTGCCTCTTCTCTTGGTATACCATAATTTGGAATAACCAATTGCGTATTGGTTTATGACACACCATACCAATTATTCAAAGTCACCTTCCATGACCTAGGTCTTAAATAAGCTCCTATCTTCTCTAGCCCTCCCATACTCCTGTATGCTTCAGCCTGTGTTTGCTTTGAACTTGACACATTTTTGTTAGGACATTGAACTTGCTATTTCTTCTGCTTTTTCCACCCGCTAAACTTATTTGCTTCCTTCTTGCCTTGCAGAACCCAACTCAAATATCAGAGGCGTTTACCTTAGTTTGAGAGATCAAAATTAAATAACCTTCCTGATTTCTATATACTACTCTGGGAAGTTAATTTATTTTCCTTTATTCTTTTTTCCTTCATGCCTCATCCACTCTCCTCAGTTCCAGGAGAACAGACATATGGGTTGGGTTTTTGATTGATGTATTTTCAGTGCCTCTCAATAGCATTCGCTCATTGACACTGAAGGAATTCCAAGAGCATAGGGAAATGAGAACGCGCCCAAAATGAAGGCACCAGGCTAGTTTGGGGGAGGGGTTTATTTTTCATTAATCCAGTGAGAAATCACAACATCCTAGTAGTTTTTCAACTTTGGCTATGCATTAGAATCACTCAGGGTCTTAAAACACTAATGCTGGGCACCACTCTCAGAAATTCTAATGAACCGATGTGTGTGGCCTGAGCACCAGAATTTTTTTTGGCAGGGGTTGGGGGGGGGGATGAGCTGGGGCTTGAATTCTGCCTCATACTTGCTAGGCAGATGATTTAAAACTTGAGACAAGCTTCCAGTCCTTTTTTGTTTTGTTTCTTGTATGGATCTCACTTTTTTCAGGCCTCCAACTGAAATCCTCTAATCTCTGCCTCCCCAGTTACTATGATTATAGTCATGAGCCACCACAGGCAGCCTGGCATATAAAAGCTCCCCCAGGAGATTCCAATGTGCACTCAAACTTGAAAACACTGCTTTAAAGATACAGGAGGATGTAGAAGAGGTAGTACAGGAGGGTATAATAAACAGTAGAGTATGTAATAAACAGCATGTGGTAGAGGTTATAGAAATTCTTTGAGAAAAATCCAGTTTGGGGCCTGGATAATGACAGCAGCAAAATTTAAGAGAAGTAGAGAGCTGGGCATGGTTGTACATACACCTGTAATCTGTTTCCCAAGAGGCTAGAGCATCCAGAGTTCAAGGCTAGCACGAGCAGTTAGCTAGACCCTATCACAAAACAAACAAAAGGCCTGGTGGTATGGCCTAAGTGGTAGAATCTTGGATAGGCTGGGTTCGAGGCCATCTGAAAGTGATCCAGTAGAGGTGTTCAATAATTTTTGTAGTGTTGTTTTAGTAGTACTAAAGTTTGAACTCAGGGCTTCACTTGCTAGGCAGGTGCTCCACTTAAGCCATACTTTTTATTTCTGAGACAGGGTCTCACTTTTTGCTGAGGCAGGTGTGGACTGCTATCCCCTACTACTTATGCTTCCCAAATGTAGATAGAATGCCAGGCACTTGTTAATGCATCCACCTATTGGTGGAAATTGGATCTTTCTGTAGGTAACTTTTTATCCAGGCCCACTTGGAACCTCAATCCTTCCAATCTCTACTTCTGGAGTAAATTCAGAGCTGCATTGCTTAATAGGTTCCTCTTGGTCTAACTGAAGAGAAGGAAATTCCTCTAGTTTCAGGAAGACAAGTAATGGGAATCTCTGGAAACTGTGACAGCTATACAGAATACAAGAGCATTTTTGTTTTGTACTAAAAACAACCAACTTCCAAGCTCCTCATGCTGCAATGTTTAACATGATTTATTTTCAAGAATTATGTATGAGTACTATTCCTTGTGTATAACTCACCAGTGAACTTTTGTAGGCTTAAAGTATTCCATTGATTATATTGCTGTCAGCCTTCAAGCAGTATTTAAAGCTACATTCAACACTTCTAAAATTTCCAATAAATGAAAAACATATCCACAATTGCTTCAAGGTTTGTGGTTAAAGACACTTAGACCTGAACTGCCTAGCTTATTTGGTTTTCTAATTGGTAAACATTTACTGGGTTACCAAAGATACCAACTACAGTCTGAAAAGACACAGCTCTTCAGTTTGTTCCAAATTTAAATTAGACACACTAAAATAAGGATCGAAAGGTTGATATATTTAGCTAAGTAACAGATGGCGGGTGGACATTTTGTCCAACATTTATCACATGTATTCCAAGGAAAAATGATGTAAATCTCTGAAGGGAAACAATCTAGGAGAGAAGGGATAAGGATTAGAATGAATTTGCTATTCAACTACGAATTTATACCCAGTCCTGTGTAGGCTAAAACACACACACACACACACACACACACACACACAAGAAATTAGAAGATCTGAGGATGAGACAGATAAAGCTGAATTAAAGTATTTTGGAATGTATGGGATTGATTACGGACTGAACCAATCCGAGATCTGAGGGCCATGGTTCGAAGCCAGGCGGGACAGCAAGTCCGAGGGAGCCTCTTATCTCTAATTATGCACCAAAAAGCCGGAAGTGGAGCTAGAGTGCAAACGGTAGAGCGCTAGCACGTCGGGGCGGGGCAAACTGAGGGGCAGCGCCATGCCCCGAGCTCAGGCGCCAGGCCCGGCACACGCAGAACAGGAAGGAAATGCGCGGACTGGGTGGGCGGCCAGGGCCGGGCCAGCCCGGCTCGGCTCCCCGGCCGCTCAATCTAGCAGGTGCGCCGCGAGAACACAAAGGAAAGAACAACTCCGGCTCCGCGAACCGCCCGGCGTCCCGCAGAAGTCCGCAGGTCCCGCGATCGCCCTTCCCCTGGGCCTCGGCTCCAGACACCCCGAGCGGTCCACGGAGGAAACTCGGTCGCGGCCACCGGGACCCCACTGCCTGGCCAGCGGCTCCGGGCGATGCTCAGACGACTGGCTGAGGCGCCGGGCGAACAGGCACCAGCGAACGGCCGAGTCCCAGAGGCGCCCGCGGCGAGCCGGGGTGGGCGTGACGCCATGACGCCAGGCACGCGGGCGGTGCGTCGGGGAGGGGCGGGGCCGAGGGCGGGGATGGGGGCAGGGAGGGAGGGGTGCGGGAGAGGGGGAGGAGACGGGGGTGTGTGGGGCGGGGGGAGAATGGCAGTTGCGGCGCTGCTTCCCCGGAGCCGCCGTCGAGCCGGAGCTGCGGAGGAGGAGGAGTTCGGGGAAGCTGCGGTGGGGACACTCGCCCTCCGCTACCCGCGCCCCAGCCGACAGGAGCCGTGGCGGGGCTGAAGGGGCCTCCTTCGCCTTTCCTCCGGCTTCTCCCTCCGCGGCGGGGACATGGGCCTGCTCGCCCGCCGCCAGGCGCCTCTGCAGCTCTGAGGAGTTAAAGGTACCACCGGCACCCGGAGGAGGTTGCGCCCGGGACGGGAGGCCAGGGGCGGCTCCCACGTCCGGACCCGAGGAGCACTGGCCGGGCACTGCCATCGCGCGTCCCCCAGGCTGGGACATGGATTCGGAACTCCCTAGGGGAGGCGCCGCTGGGTGCCCCGCGCGGGCGGCCGGTGTGAGGTGGGGCGGGGGGAGAGGGTCATAGGCCTCGAGCTGGGCCCGGGTCCCCCCCTGGCTCGGGGGTCCCCCCCCGCGCTTCCCCGGGATCGCGGGCGGAGGCGGGGCGTGGGATCCGCCCCGAGCCTGGCCCTGGCCCGGCCGGCTGTTGGGCGGGCGGCGGCCCCGCCGTGTTGTGACGGACCGAAGCCGCGCTCCCCGGAGCACTCCCCCCAGCCCGGCCCGGCCCGGCCCGGCCCTACCCGGTCCGGGAAGCCGGCGGGACCCGAGGGCGGCTGCCGCGGGGAGGCGGCGGGGGCGGAGCGCATTCCTGACGGGTGAAATCGGCTCTAACGGGACGGTTTCCGGGCGTCGTTGCACGTTCGGAGCCGGGGACTTCGCCCCGCAACCCGGGCTGCCGGAGGCCCTTAGAGAAGGGAGAGCCTTGTTCCGGGCAAGAATTACCACTGTTTCCAAAGCGAAGATCGCACCCACAGACGCACACGCCGGAAAAATGGAGTAGCCTTGGGGTAGAGTACGTGTTGCTGATGGGGGTCTCCCGGGGTGTCTGACCCTGGCTTAAACCTTCAGGTTGCCCCCAGCCCTCACCCGGCCGGCAGTGCCACTACTTGTTCCTGTCTAGTTTTTCCTCCGATCGGAATTCTACTCTGCCACCTTCCTCCTCCTCCCTCCTCACCCCCGTTTCATTAATTTGGGAAGGAAAAGTAGTTTGGGGTTGGTTCATTAGCCCCAAGATAAGCGCGGCGAGTAAAAGAGGTTCGAGGTAGTTAGGGTTCTGCATGAGAGAGAGGAAGGTTTAATTTTGGCCATCGGTCCCGGGCAGAAATAGACGAGTGATGCTTTACTCGGCTTAAGATTTACTCCTCTAGGTGTTTTGTTAGGTTGATGTTAGGGAGGACCGCCCTATTTAAGTGTTGCTGCTGTTTTCCAACCCAGGTGTTGGCTGGAAAGGCTATTTTTAAGTCAACAGCAGAAGGTATAAAGCAGTCATTCCCCTGGTCCCTTGCTTCAAAATGTTTGTGATCTTTTCCATTCTACCTCTTTGTTTTGAAGAATATGGCTGTCTTTTTTTGTTATTGTTGTTGATGATGATGTTTCTTTTTCTAACCTGGATACATTGACCCTTTTGAGTGTCTGAAGTCTAGCCAGTATGCTCAAGTTTTATTTTCAGTTTTGCCATTAACAACCTTAGTGCACATTTTACCACTTCTGTTTATAATTCCAGCCCTTACCAAATTTGCGTGTTTAGCCAACTCTTAACACTGAGCTGTCTGAATTGAATTAAAATGTAAATACTTTATTTAGAAAATGGCGATGACCTTATTTCCAGATGTTCTTTCCTTGCTGCATGTAATTCCAGGGAAAGGATTTAGAAGTAAATCTTGGGATTTAGTAAACCAAATTATGCAATAACAAAACACTTTTTTGTTACTACTGTGCCTAATGCTCTTTAAAAATTACTGTATACACTATATTTGAAGATAAATTTTATGTTTTAATGGGAAATATTTTAAGGTCTTCAAAAGACCTCAGGAAAATTACATTTGGCAATTAATGACATGTTTTTAAGTGCTGGTAAGATTAATTTTTTTTTTGGTCGGTCGTGGGGCTTGAACCCTGTCCCTCAGCTTTTGAGCTCAAGGCTAGCGCTCTACCACTTGAAGCACAGCATCACTTCTGGTTTTCTAGTGGTTTATTGGAGATAAGAATCTCACGGACTTTCCTACTCAGGCTGGCTTTGAACAGTGATCCTCAGATCTCAGCCTCCTGAGTAGCTAGGATTCCAGGCGTGAGCCACCAGTGCCCGGCAAGATTAATTTTTTAAAAATATAAGTATATTTTAGAAGTTGGAACACAACCAAATAGTGGCTGCTTTAACTATTGTCTCCTTCCAGAGATGCTTCCAGCTGACCATTTAGAATTGATATAAAGAATTGCCCATTTTCCTGTTATCCCACTACTGTCTGAATTTATTCTTCCTAAATATTACTGGCAGTTTGTTAATTTTTTTTGGTACTTTGGTACTGACTAAATGAAACCAGATTATTTTCTACCTAAGTGCTTTTAAAGATACTTAAGCATCTTAATGGAAAGTAAGTGAACTTCCACGTTTGAATATGGATAAAGTAATAGAGTAGCATTTTTGCAACTGTGATTACAACATATTTGGGGATCACTTGTCATTAATGAGATCAGATGAAAGTGTACACTATTTGTTATGGTGTTAGGTGAAAATGAATGTGGATAATTTGGCAAACCTTAACATTTGAAAGAGTCTCCTGTATCATGGAAGGTTCAGAATTTATCTTAAATCTTTATATGGATTTAACACAGAAAGTTTTTGATTCCCCCGACCCCAATGTATTTTTCTTTCTGGACATGGTGGTACCTTGTAATCCTAGCTGTTTTACAAGTTGAAGTGGAAGGTTGGAAATCATTTGGGGCACTTTGAGACCCTGTTTCAAAAATTATTTTTTTAATTTAAAAATATTAAGGACTGGGAAATATAGTTCTATGAAATTTCCAAGAAGGCAAAAAAAAAGTTTCTGATGACATAAACATTCCTAGTCAGGTGTTTGCTTGGCACAGAGTAAACTGGTGGTATATTTTGTTATATTTACATCATAATTGGTCACTTATATCTTCTCTACTCAGGTCATGTAGAAAATGTTAAGAGAACTGTTACTTGTTTTTTTTTAAATTTTTTGATGCTACTAATAGGTGACCATTGTCAAATGCCAGCTAGTTCTTATTAAGCTATGTTGTTTTTAAAAAAATCAATTTTTATTATTGAGGTCCAGATAAAAATTTGGACAGTTTGGGCTGAAGGCAAAAGTGAAACTGACCTTCTAAATTTGAAGTTAAATTTCTAAATTTATATTTGATTGCATATTTCACTGTATTTGTCAAGCTAGCTCATCATAGCTAAGTAGTAATTTAATGACTGTCTGAAAGAACCTCTTATCATATATGGTGTTATTTTGACTCCATATTTAGTAAAATGTTAATCTGATTACTTACAGAAAATAGCTAAAGTTTTCATACCTTGGCAGTTTTTTTCCCTCCTACTAGGAATGATATTTCTTGTTTTTCCTCCCTTTTTTACTTTATCAAGTCATTGTTAGCTGACAGAGATGTATCATTGAAACAACTCATGTACATAAGCACACTTGCACAGCTACAGATCAACAGATAATACCCATTTGCCAAACACATTTGTGTTTCAACTAAATTCTCAACAGCAATCATGTCTTATATCTGCTGTGAAGTGAAAAAATTAGTACATTTTTCTAAAATCACTTTTAAAATAGTATTTACTGTATTGGTTTCTTTGTTGCTGTCAGTACCAGAATTATTTTTATTATTCATACTATTTTGAAGGGTATGCTATTGGCCTTACAACCATTAATAATTTTGGTCCTATTAATATTTCCTGGTATTTTATTTTAAAAGTCAAATCTAAATTGGGTGGCTATAATCCTGGCTACTCAGGAAGCTGAGATCTGAGGATCACAGTTTGAAACCACGTAGGCAGGAAAGTCTGTGAGACTGTTTATCTCCAATTAACGTCCAAAAAGCTGGAAGAGGAGCTGCCACTCAAGTGGTAGAGTGGTATCCCTGAGTTAAAAACGCTGAGGGACAGTGCCCAGGCCCTGAGTTCAAAGGCCCAAGACCAGCACTAATGGGCTCGTGGGCACCCACACCCACAGAGTCAATTCTAGTTGTACCAGACAATTCTAGTTGTTACTTTGTCTCATTTGGGAAAATTTTGTTATGTGAAAGTCTTAGTAGCACAGAACTGATGAGGAATTGTTTTAGCCTACAAATAGAGTTGTTCATTGAATTATGAAGCAAAATCTTCCTTATAAACTACGCTTCTTTGTTTGAATTCCAAAAAAACTTCAGAACTATATCCTTGGTTCACAGAGCTGGTGTAGCCACCTTAAAATTATGTAGTCTTCACATTTTCAAATCCAGTCCCACTCTGGATACCCCAATCCCATAGTAAAAATAGCCCTGTTGTAATGTGAGTAGATAACAAGTTGTCAGTTAAAAAAGAACTTTTCTAGAAGTGAGCCAAAAGGAAGAAGCAGGAAACCAGGACAAACTATTGGGAATGTGATACAACTAGACTTTTGAATAAGTGCTATATAGCATATTAATATAAATATAGCATCACAAAAATAGTCATTAGTCTGAATCTATGGATTTATGTTTTGTGATTTCTAAATCTAAATCAAGTATTTATATCTGCCTCCTAAAGTGAGATAGCGTTGCAGATAATGCAAATCTATTATCACAGGAGCATTCCTTGATTAACTGTAAAAGTTTCAACACTTGGCAAAAACCTATACAATAGGTGTTGAATAAGCATTTGGTAACTAACTAAAGAATGTACAATGTAAGGTATCTAGTTCATAACTTTCTCTACAGCAGTACGGTCCAGTAAAAATACAATGTAAGCCACAAAGGTAAGGATTTCTTAGACTTTTAACATGCATTAGTGAATAACTTTACATTTTTTATTCATACTAAATGGTACAATTCTAGGGATATTTTGTATGAAATGTTCCTTTCCACAGAGATTCATTTTCTTCCACCTTTTCTCCCTGTCCCTTCCTCTCCCCTCCCTGCCTTTTTTTTTAAAATATTAAAAAAACATTTTGCTGGGTGCCAGTGGCTCACACCTGTAGTGCTAGCTATTTAGGAGGTTGAGAGCTGAGGATCATAGTTCAAAGCCAGCACACGCAGAAATGTCCATGATATTTGTATCTCTAACAAACAACTCAGAAAGAGCTGGAAATGGCTCTGTGGCTCAAATAG